GTAATAATGGCGTGCAAACCCTGTTACAAAGAATTTGAAAAATTAGCCAGCAAATATTAAAGACAACAGTTTAATTCATATAATCCCCTTCCAAAATATAAACATTTTTTATAATGTATAAACAATTTCTAATAGCTATATATAGTCATATTTCAATAACTGAAGGTCCACAGTCTTTAAGGATAAAAGCATCTATTTTATATACAATAGCTAGCCACATTTCTAGAAATGCATACTAAACAGTCAGAGCCCAAACAAACATCAGCTTTTCCCACACTTAAATATAACTCTGGTTTAGTGTGGGATGCTGACTTGTCTATGCAAGGAAATCAAAATGCCCTTTTATGATGTTTTAATCAAGTTTACTTTCTATATTAAATATTAGATTATTTTACAGAAATAAGGCACCTCTTGCATATTCTTCCCTCCCTTGCCGTACTATTATTCAAAAGGAGTTTTGCACTATATAAATTGACAATGCAAATAATCCTACAACATTTGTCGACCAAATGAAATATGACCAGCAACTGGATTTTTGGCAAGACACGGTGTGTTGGTTAGCAGTAGACAGTCGTCTCGGAACTTCTTCTCCACTGGGGCTAAATGCGGGCGGGGTGCAGAGGCTCATTGCAGAAAAAAAAACAAAAAACAAAAAAAAACCCCCACTGTTGAACAATGGGACAGGAAGGGAATTTCAAAAAAGAAAGAAGTGGCTTGAAGGTGTGCAGTTTATGGCTATCCTGGTTCTGTGGTGAACTGTCTTGTATTCAGGTGTGCATACAAATTGTCCATTCTGGATGGCAAGAACACTAGAGAGATTTTTTCTTTTTTTTAAGCTGCCACATATAGGCCCCTTATTTGCCCAAGACATGTACTCTATTTATCTGCTCAGATGTGCATACAAATTGTCCATTCTGGATGGCAAGAACACTAGAGAGATTTTTTCTTTTTTTTAAGCTGCCACATATAGGCCCCTTATTTGCCCAAGACATGTACTCTATTTATCTGCTGTAGTCTGATTGACTAATATAGTCGAAAAAGAAACTAAAAACAAATTAAGTACAACAAATAAAGTTACCCAAAAGATAATAAATACTGCAAAACATTCTAACAAAACAGATGTAAAACAGTCTCTTCTCTCCAAAATATGTACTTTCCTTTTTATTCCGAGTCTTTCTAGAAAAAATGAAATTTTAAGCGATGTCTTCTACATATATATGTAAAACAGAAATCTTAATTCATGTTGTCACTGGTGGCCAACGTTTGGCTACGTCATCATGCATAACTTCAGGAAGCCACTGACAATATGCAGAGAGCAAGTCTGAAACAAAGATATGTATCATCAGAAGGCGACACAAGTCAAAAACAGCTAACAGTGGAAGAAGGTGTCCTAGTGCTTCCAGAGAATATGTATAAGAAGCAGACTGCTTACATACAGTGAAATAAAAATACAGTTAATGGAAACCTAGATTTCAATTTTACTCTTGCACTGTGTCTTCCCATGGAAGACTAAAGAAGAAACTCCTTTGCAAATATTCATTCCAAAATAAACCTAAGTGTTCAGGGCCATAAATTTGAGAGAGAATTTTTCTCCTTGGGAAAGTTGGAGTTTTGGGGCATCTCTATTTTTTGTGTGCTAAAGAAAATTATCTTTTAATAATCAATGAGTCCAATGTAAGGCCCTGATCCAATAGAATTCTTATACGTGGGCGTAAGGGTGGGGTTTAAAAGTGAACATGAGTACAGTACATACAAGAGGTACAGGATTGGAAACCAAAAACTACTGCTCTCTCTAAGACCTTAGAGAGGCCCATTAACCTCTGCCTCAGCTTTCCCACCAGTAAAAATAGGAAAATATTTGTCTGACAATTAACACTTGTAAAGTGTTTTAATGATCTAAAAGTATGAAAAAGAATGAAAGAATTATTGCTCAAGTTAGTACTGGGAATCCTATAAAAAACGATGTGTTACTCCTTGCAGCATCTGGTATAAAGGTCAGATTATTTGATATGCTTACAACTATCAAAATAAAATTTAATTGGTACAGGATTCTTTTTACAACACAGCCACCTTGTGACAGAGCTGCTGTAAATCTGCTTTTCATCCATCAATCCAGACAAATGTACTTTGGAGAGAATTACAAGAAAAAAATCTTTCAAATATTAATTTTTCTAAAATGACAATTTTAGAAATTCTCTCAATAATCTTGCTGAAAGACTGAAATCACAATACAAACTACCCCAATGGGAAGACGCTGAAAATGATTGTTGCTTTATCTGGTATAGTATTGTCTATTCCTTTATTAAAGTTTGAAAGACCAGGTCTGCTTGAAATCAGATAAGAACTCCATGCTGTAATGGTTAATAACCACCACCCAGCAAATGGAACACTTACACTTGGGATTTTTTTTCCACGCGGACAGCAAAGCATCATGACTATCCACACTTTCTGAAACAAGAGCCTAAGCCTGAGTGAATTCCAAAATGAAAGGGGATCAAATATATATGTGGGCTTAGTTCCTTTATCTAACTGTATCATGGATACATCTCTACTTTAGTGCTTACAGTCTAGCATTCTGCTTTTGTTTTATAACAATATTGATTAGATGTAGACATAAAACATCTAACCCCTGAATAAAGGACAGTTAACTTGAAAATCTACCACTGTTATATGCAGGACTGCTGTAGCCATGTTGCTCCTAGGACGGGGTGGGAAAAAGGGCCTCCTTGGCCCAGATCCAGACCACCAAGTGAGTTGATCCAGCCCACAGAGGCCCTGCCACTCCCCCTCTCCCCCCGCCAATCAGGGCCTGGGGGTGGGAGGAAGCACACATGGTCTCCTCCCACCCTGCAAGGAGTGCATGGCACTTAGAAACACCATGTACTCCTGGAAGGGCGGGAGGAAACTTTGCATGCTCTACCTACCCACAAGACCTGACTGGCTTGGGAGTGGGGGTGAGCGCACACAGTCTCCTCCTGCCCTGCGAGAGATGTGGCGCTTCTAAGCACCGCACGCTCCTTGCAGGAGGGGGGCAGGGTGTTAAGAGATTTCAAGTGCTCCTTGTGCCCCCAGGCCAATCAGGGCTTGGGGAGTGTGTGAAGTCTCCTCTTACCCTGCAAGGGGCAAGCACTAAAAATCAACTGCCAGCTGCTGCTCAGCTGGTGGTTGACTAAGCACAGAACTCCCTTGAAGGGCAGAGGTAGGGAGCAAGAGACTTCATGTACTCCCCCTTCCCGAGCCCTGATTGACCTGGGGACAGCAGTGGGAATCATGCAAAGTCTCTTCCCACCACCAGAATCATGGGCACCTAGAGGGAACCACCAGCTGTTCAGAACATCTGGCAGTACTCTCTGGGGGGAAGACTTCGCGTACTCCTCCACCCCCAGACCAATCAGGGTCTGTGGGTGGAGAAGCATGGAAGTATCCTGGCCCTGCCCCTTACACCTGAGGCCTTGCCCCTTCTGGGGCAGCCCAGGGCCACTTCAGACCCAGGTCAAAAATTATTGCCCATCCGGGTCCTAAGATATTAGAGAAATAAGCTGGAGAGGGAATATCTTTTATTGGACCAATTTCTGATGGGGTGACAATTTTTTCAAGCTACAGAGCTCTTCTTTCAGTCTAGGAAAGGAACTCAGAGTATCACAGATAAATACAAGATTGAACAGGGAGTTTAGCATAAAGCAGTTAGCAAATATTCTTAAGGGATATAAGGTGAAATAGGCGGTTAACATCCCCATTGTCATCACATAAAAGGGGACTTGTTCCAGATTCTTGTAATAAGCCATACATCTGGTGTTTTTATAGTTTTTAAATGTCTTGCAAAGTTATGACCTGAAATTGCCATACTTTCAACAGATGAACCTGGGAGTCTCCTTTGGAATGAGGTCTGATAGGTCAGTTACAGAGCGATTGCTCTGTGAAGTGTTTGTCCACAGGTACTAAGGTGTTTCTGTCTTTTATCAGTCTCCTGTGTGAGTTCATTCTTGAGTGCAGAAATAGTTACCCACATAGTTGTTAATGGGGCATTTAGTGCACTGGAGGATATACACAATCTTGAAAAACTTAAACAACAAATAGTCTAGTACATGGGTTCCCAAACTGGGGTGTGTGAAGAAATTCCAGGGGGGCATGAGGCAACCCAGCTACATACACCCCCATCTATCCCACCCCAAGTTTTGCTGATATTTGGGGGGGGGGCACGAGGGGTTACAATTATTTTTAAAAAAAAAAAAAAAGGGGGGGGGGGGCGTGATGCCAAAAAGTTTGGGAGCCACTGGCATGTTAAAGACTAACAAAACATATATATGGTATCATGTGCTTTTGTGGGCACAACCCACTTCTTTAGATGACCGGAGTATTAAGAGCCCAGATTCAAGAATAAATAAGGGAGAAGGGGAAAAGAAAAGTAGAAAAAAGACAATGAAGAGTTTGTTCAAGTTACAAGAGACTGATAAGAACAATTAGCACTTCCGTTGTTTGGTTGATTGGTAAAGTCATTATGACAATGGACACCAACCAGTAGATCTTGGAGCCTCTGACAGGTGATCCTGACCGGTTTGGCCAGGAAGCTATAAAGTGCTGGCACTTCAGTTGCCCCTCTACCCATTGTCATGCTTCTCCTGCCCTCTGCCTTGGAGCTGTCCCCCTGGAAGCCTCCTGCTTGCTGTACAGGGTATGTAAGGGAGAAGGGGAAGGGGCGCTAATGTCAGGGTGTCCCTCCTCCCCCCACTTCTGTGCCCCATCTCCACACAAAGAGAAGGGGATGAACAGAGCTTCAGAAGAAGTTGTGAGTGAGGACAAAGTCGCAGAGCTCTGTAACCAGGCATGCAGTGCTGTCATCAGGGATGGTGTTCTTGACAGCCTGTAATCATTCTTCATATGGAATGTTGGTGTAAAGAGCTTCTATGTCCGGTTGTTTTCAAGAAGATTATTGATGTTTTGTAGTTTCCTCAGGAACTCGGTGGTGTCTCAAAGATAGCTAGGAATGCTGGTAGCATAGGGTTTGAGGAGAGAGTCAATATAGCTGGATAATCCTGTTGTAAGTGTGCCAATGCTTGAGATGATGGGTCGTCCAGGATTTCCAGGTTTCTGTATCTTGGGTACCAGATAGAAAATTCCTGGTCGGGGACTAACAGGGGTGTTGGTGTAAATTTGGTCCTGAGCAGCATCAGGGAGCTTCATGAGCAGTTGTTTTAGGGTTTTTCTGTAGTCTTTAGTGGGATCAGAGAGAAGCTTGTAGAATCTGGTGTTGGTGAACTGTCTGGTTGATTCCTGTTCATAATCTGTTCTGTTCATGATGACTACAGGCCCCCTTGCTGTTAGGTGGGGAAGTGATCATGGATCATTGTACTTCTACAATGTCATTGCCTCAACAGGCAAAACCAGGTGAAAGAAGGTACAAAGAAGTTTGTCTATTTCATTATATGACCAAAAATGGTTTAGTTGGCTAAGCTGTGAAGGCTATTAAATGGGAAAGTCTGATTCTGCAAAAAGTTATGCACAAGTAATTTTACTGATACAAATAATCCCAGGGAAACCAGTGTAACTACTCAGATAACCAAGTGTTTACAGGAGCCTTACAATTCAACAGCTTGATAAAGGCTATTGACCTTAGATTTGGTGAGATAATTTTTCTTCTCTTACCCCTTAACAACTGAGGGTAAATACTTGCATAATATTTCCAGTTAGGAAGTTCCTCTCTTTTCAGAAGGCTCAAGTGATTGGCACCACTGTTGGGCGGCATGGCATCTGTTTAATCAGTGTTTTAACAACTTACTTGGACCATGTCTTCAGCATTGTGAGTGGACTGGACAGCAAACATCGCTTGTAAAAGCCCAGCTGTTTGATGATCTAAAATAAATAATAGCCTTCATTAGATACTTGCCATAAAGTAAATGGATGCTCTAAAATGTATGTGGAAACCATGCAAGTTGTAATATGCTTACCTTTCCTTCCAGTAAAAATTTGGCAAAGTATTTGTAACGATCAATACCCTCAGGGTAATCTACCTCCACTGCAGGAAGCTGCCAGCCTACTCGATCTGAAAATACAGGTTATATTATGTCTTCTATTTAATCCTCAAAGTGGACTTTGTCAGTTTGCGTTCTGCAAACTTATACAGACATTGCTGGCATTTAGAGAAACACACAGCTTGTAACAGTAACATCAGAAATCCTCCAGCATAGGATAGGATGCAACAAACATCACAGCAATAGTGGGACCAAGAGGTTGGCAGCCCAGCAGCTCTATACTAACTCTAGAGAACCCAATGGAGCTATATAAACCATGACAAGGTATGCACGATATTAAAAGTTATAGGGTTCAGTCCTTTTGGACATACAAAGTTTTTATTCCATGACCTTATAGATGATGAATCAATGCAAAGCAGTTTTCAGGTGAATGTGATATTCATCAGAGTTACACTACAACATACAATGCTTCAAGAAACTTACAGAAGACACTTGGTCTGTGGCATCTTATTCTGCCTGTTTCAGGGCAATAAAATGGAGGAGGAATTGCCAAAGGTTTCTCAAAGTGACAGTAGGGCGGCAGCAGGATTGGGATCCATTCAGATTCAACAGCTGAAACACCTTCAGAATGGAAACACATAATACAAAATGAAATATGTTTGATCTGAGAACAATTAGTTCAGTACTATTTATGTACATGTAATGTTCAGTAAAACTCACACCCCTTGGAAGTGAGCTCCTCAAATGGATCGCCTCAGGCTCCCCATAGATTCCAGAGTTTTGACTGACCTACAGCAGTGGTGGGTAACCTGGGGCCCATGGGCATTCTATGTGTGGCCTTCCAGACATTTTGTTTACCGTTGCTCATGCTCAGGGATGCCAGTTACCACTGATGTCTGCCCATGCTGTTTTTTCTTATCAGTATTACTAGCGTACATGTAAAGCAAGGACATGGATAGTGAGGTGCGTGCTGATTGCATACATTAACTATGAGAGCCATGCATTCCCTCTGCACCCAATCAAAGTGCTGCAATGGCTCATTAGGCACACCCTGCAATTCTAGGTACACAAGCACAGTTAGTCTTAGTTATGACAGTTTTGTGCCCCACTGGAATGAAGGAGGGCTACACATGTGGCCCACTCACTAACCTAGGTTGCCCATCACTGCCCTAGAATCAAAAAGTCAACGCAGCAAGGAAAGCGAAGGGGAACTCTAAGCCCTTGTTTCAGAGTCCAAGCCTCACTCTCTTTCCCCATTTTGCAAGATCTAAGGGCACAATTGGAGTTGGCCAGGGCCCATTTCTCATAGCCTGGTCCCTGGAAAGCAGCTGCTAGTGTTGGGGCTTCAAGCTCCTCTGTTGGTCACATGGCTTCTTTGAGAGTCTTTTTTTGACAGTCAATTGGGAATGGGAAGAGAATGACCCAAGCAGTAGGAGAGGACACAATGTATATCAGGATGTCATTTCCAAAGCCAATCCAGCTCTGCATTTAGGAAGGGAAAGACTACAAGGAGCCTGGGAGGATGGTCTGGAATATAGCTGCACAAGAAGGAAATCATCAGTAATTTCTATGGCTGCCTGTCATCAACCAGTAGATCAGGATCTTCTGGTAGATTCTAGAGCCTCTGACAGGTGATCCTGACTGGTTTGGCCAGAAAGCTACCTAGTGCTGGTACCACAGCTGCGCCTCCCTCCACTGCTCTGCTTCTTCTGCCCTCTGCCTCGGACCTGCTTTCTGGGGCCTCCTGCTTGATGGGCAGGGTGGGGGAGACAGAGGAGGGGGATGCTGAGATGTTAGAGCAAGGGTGCGCAAAAGGGTCTGGGGGCTAAAGAGCACATGAAGGGTCCTCCTGCCCTACCAGGAGCACATGGAGCTTTGAAGCACCGTGAGCTGCTCATGGGGCGGGAGACTTCATGCGCTCCCCTGCCCCTAGGCCCTGATTGGCCTCATTAAAATACCTTGGCTCTGTAGCAGAGGTGGGCAAAAGGGCCTCCGTGGGCCGAATTTGGCCCACCAAGCAGGTGCATCCGGCCTGTGGAGGCCCTGTTGCTCCCTTGCCCCCAGGCCGCTTCAAAGTGCCACATGCTCCTCGCAGGGCGGGAGGATTCTTCCCATGCTCCCCCACCCCAGGCCCTGATTGGCCTGGATGTGGGGGAGTGTGCCAAGCCTCTTTCAGGGTATGGGTGCCTAGTGGGAAGGGGGAGCAAAAGGGCTCCCCCATCCCCCAGACCAATCATGGTCTGGGGAAGCCCAGAATCATCCTGGCCCCGCCCCTTCCAGTTTAGGCCCCATCCCTTCCAGGACGGCTCAGGGCCACTTCAAAAATGTTTGAAGTAGCCCCTGGCCAAAAATTATTGCTCACTCCTGTGTTAGAGTGTCCCCTTTCCCCCACCCCTGCACCCCACTGCCACAAAATGAGCAGAGTGGGACCTCAGAGAAGGGGTGTGACAGGGAGAGGAGCTCAGGGAAGGAGGTGGGGCAAATCCTGGATTGACTTAAATTCAAAAAGTGATCTTGGGCTTAAAAGGGTTGGAGACCACTGCATTAAGGGCTGGCAGCTCCTGAGATTGTTTCCAAATGGGCACAGCTCAGTGCTAGGGATAAATGCCAAGTCAATGAGAAATGAGACGTTGCTCTCTATGGATCCCCATCCCTGGCCAGCACCAAAAGGACTTGTGCTGTGAGCAAGTGAAATACTCTTCTGATTCCATAGTGAACTGCTGAACAGATGTGAAGAGGGAGCAGAAGCTGAGCAAGCTTACCTTTCATGTACATTTTAGTAGTTTCAATAATTTCTTGATACACCACAAACTCTGGGAATTGTTTGAACAGGGCAGAATTTGGGTGGATAAAGACTGGGTCATCCAGCAAAGGAGTCTTAAAAAAAGCACAAAGGGCTTGCAGTGAATAACAGCATGGAAGGAGACAGTGATTATTAGCAATTAGGTCTTTGCGAGTACCTAGTTTAAATTCTTCTACAATTTACCATCTATATTCTCTGGAGACTGAGATTCCCTTGTTTTCTGCATCCCCTTCCTTCTACGGACCTCACTGCACTCTGTTAATAGCCATTCATTCAGTTTCTCAACATCTTTATGAGATACAACAGAAAATAATCATCCTACACTGAGTGGGGGTTACTCTAGCATAGAAGAGTTAACTTCTTATAGTGATACTGATGCAGGCCTGAGAACAAAGCCTTAGTCCTGTATTTGGGCCATCAGACCAAGCTCCGCATACAGCTCTATTTCTAGGTCAGTGTTACAGAACGACAGTGATAATCAAATTGACCCATGTCACTAATCTTTACCTTGTAGGCATTTTTCCATTTCTCATCCAGAAGTTCCTCTGCTTGGATCCTTCGAGCAATATGATCACCTAGTCCTGCCAACACTATCTGTCTCAAATAGATCACCTGGGTCTCCGATGGGGGCTTCATTTTTGGATCAACGAAGAGGCCAGCATCAGGACAAATTGAATTCACTGAAGAAAAGAGTAGTTAAGATTCTCACCAAGTTGGAAAGAAATGGGCATGACTAGAGGATTCCTGTCAATTTACACAGTATGTGAAGATAGGTAAATATTAGCGCTCTCTTTCTCTAAAGCCATGGCCATTTGCCATGGAGACTTAATCTTTAGTTAAAATGACTTATCAAAAATACCACTTATGACACACAGAATACAGGCTACATTGATGGCAATCTAAAAGGCTGTATGTGCTGAGCAGAGAAAACTGAGTAATATCTACTGCTAAAATTTTACCTGCTGTTGTCAGCTGCCCTCGTAAGCGCCTGATTTCCAACATAGCTTTGTATCGCAACCCATTCACTTCACAGAATTTAGGAGTACACCCTGCATACTCACAAGCCCCAACGGCTCCTGGAAGAGAATATTTATTCAGCAGAGAAAGAACAGAGAGCCTTAAAAAAAGCCCATTATCTTCCCAGAGGTGAAATTCATTAGGCTGCAGAGCATTTTCCTCGAGGGGGTAGCGAATCTCAGTTTTATCTATTCAGGTTTGCTTATCGGCTGGAAGGATGCACTGGTAAATATATTAGAGAACATTTTCTTCTGGTGGACAAGAGTTAGACTATATGATCTGACTTCTATGAAAAGAAAGTAATCCTGGTTATATTGCACTGACCGAAATAAACCACCTCCCCACAATAAGCAGCATGTTCAAGTTTTTGGCAGTAAATACCTAACATCACCATGAGGTCTCCTAGCTTTTGAGAAGCTCCTTGTCCAGCCCAGATCCTTTGCATCTGTATAACTCTTGCTTTCTTTCCCTTGAGCTTTTCTGTCTCTTCTTCGCTTACAGCTGGTCTAAACCAAAAGCACAATCAATATAATTTATAGCTTTCTAGTAACCACAATAAGCCATGTCATCAAAGTAGCTCTGTATATTCCCATCTAGTAATACTAAACAGCAAACTGATATCAAATTGGTACCAAAAGCCTGTATAAAATCGGAAGATAAAAAGAAAACCCAGGGATCGGTCAGTTCATCTTCTGAGGCTAATCCAAAATAGATAAAATTAGGTGACTAGGAGAAGAAAGTTCTGTCCCCACACTCCAGTGGCTGTCCTACGACATGGAGGAATGAAATGTGAATTCACGTCTGGTACTCCATCCCTAGTGGGTATTAAGAGGCTATAATACAGTGGTCCCCA